GGTGATGACTCTCGTTATGGAGGTGTATATTCGGGTCGATCAGGTGATGGCTCTGGGTGAGGTGATGGCTCTCGAAGTGGTGGCTGCTCATCATCCGTGCCATAAAAAAAAGCTTACTAGCTTGCCACCAATCAGTGGTAATCTCAGCTTCCGTGGGTGTCAGCCTCTGTAATGGAGTATTGGCCTCCTAACAATATAAAAGCTCAAACAAAGTTAAATGTGTACTAGTAATAACTTGTTTATAAACATATGGTAGTATTTGTGTTAACTTACATTATTTATTGTAGTATACGGTAGTAAATCTTCCCATTGCTGCAAGGACCGTTTCCTCTTCCAGGAAATAGCCCTAGGAATATCATTAGAAGTTTTTAATGCATATGTCTGCATGGCGGGAAAGGCCTCAAATATCCAAATCTACAAACAATATAATAACAAACATTAGTAATTGTTAAAGAATTAATTATAATTTTGGAAACATTATATAAAAATTATTACCTTAAAGGCCCAAATAAAGCATGAAAAAGTGTATTTGGAACCATCACCACGCAAACTTTTCCGATCATTAAAGGCAGATGACAACTTATTCCATATAGCTCTCCATAGATACGAACCCCACGGAAACAGGTTCCATGCATTTAGGTCCTCTACCAATTTAATTAGATATTAGGAATAGGTTGTTGGGCCTCTCTGCCTAAAAGTCGGCTTGCAAAAGTATTAGAAGGCATACTCGGGCAACATCGATGTCATCCATCCGAGTAAAACCATCTTTCTTATTCAATAATCTCGTCAAGTCTTCCACGTGTAAATTCGACTTCTCCGTTGACTGCTCAGGAAAAACCCAGGAAAACCATGATAGGCGGGTAATATGTCTAGTGTACCGATCTACATCATCGTGTCCGAAGCGTAGACTGGTGATTAAGCAAAACTCCTCTCGCCCAAAACATGTATATGCCGGTGGAAAATCAAACCATATCTCTTCATCACGACGTTGTATAGTCTCTGGTAGATCGCTAGTCATGGTTTGAAGAAACAGATGGGTCAACATAGCATCTCCACCCGGATGTTGTACTTTCAGCCATGGCCCAAAGCAAGTATCCTCAAATATTTTTCTTTGTGCAGGTGAAAGCTTCGACGCAATTGTTTTGGCCAGGCTTACTTTATTTCTTAAGGTCAATTGAGCCGAATAAAAGTTCTGCAAAAACAATAAACATACCAATTTAGATATACCAAAAACTACACTGTGAAGATATGAACAATAAACATAAAGAGTAGTAGTTTATTCTTCAAATTTAAATTTGCAACACTGTGAATTTAGTATTTGTTTTTTGGTTGAAGTAATGCAATTCATTCAAGTTTCAATTTGCAGAAGAAGAATAGTTTCTGAAACTTTAAATCGCAACACGAAAATGAAAATCGCAACACGAAAATGACTATCGCAACGCGAATTTGACTATCGCAACGCAAGAATCGTAACGCGAAATAAAAATCGCATTGCGATAGTCAAATTCGCATTGCGATAGTCATTTTCGCGTTGCGATTCACTCGTTGCGATAGTCATTCTCGGTTTCAAATACTAAAATTGAAAGAAACTTGAATGGATTGCATTACTTCAACCAAAAGACAAAACAAAGACAAATACTAACTTCACAGGGTTAAAGACTAAACACTTTAGCAGTATTGGCAGCAATCGAATGAATATAATAAGCAATCTAAGTGAAATGGTTAATCTATTATTGAAAACACCAGTAAACTTATCATCAATTTCAATATGAAAAACCTAATAATAATGCAAAAAATTAAAAATAAAAATAATTAAAAAAACTAACCCTCGGTGGTTGATTTGGTTGATTTTTCATTTCTGACCGTGAATGATTTCGCCGGAGATGGAGACTGTTATCGTCGTGGGGACTGATTTCGTCAGAGATGGGGACGGATTTCGCCTTAGAGAGTGAGAGATGGAGATGAGACTGAGTTGTGATTTAGGGTTTTAGGTTATGAGTTGCGATTACGGGATATAATGTGGACGGTTCAGTGTTCCGATATATTAATATATTCGTGTTTGGAATTTGAAAAAAAAATACGTGTTAATACGAATGGCGCTATGTAAATCGCATCGCGATAGTCAGATTCTCATTGCGATTTACGTAATCGCATTGCGATTTACGTATTCGCATTGCGATTTACGTAATCGCAACGCGAATTTGGGAAATCGCAATGCGATAGTCAGAATCGCGTTACGAATCTGGAAACTGATTTGCGATACCGGAGATCGCGTTGCAAAATTATCGATCGCATTGCGATTTAGTTGGTCATTTTGGCAAATCCAAAAAAAGTTGGTTAAAATCGTATATTATAAGGCATTTTTGGTCACTGAGGTTATTTTCTCTTAAAAGTAATTAGAATGTATACATGACTAAATTGCATTGAATTAAAAAAATCAATAAGTGATTTACAATTAAACCATGATTGAAATGAAAAGAATAAAAAATCAAATAACAAAAAAAAATGTTGATTGTTGGAGGATTATAGACCTAATTAACCCAAACCATTTCTTTGGGCATTAAAACCTTCCAGCTAGGCCCGAAAATTTCCCTAAAAAATTTCAGAATTATAAAATCAGATTGCCAAAATTCCCTCAAAAAGTTTACCACCACTAAATCTGCCAATTATAAAATCAAAAATTATCATTTCCCACCTTTAAATTACTACCACTTATGTGAATATTTTTTTTATTAAACTCACATGAATATATATATATATATATATATACCGTTTATTTTAAATCGATACATAATTTTTAAAATTTTAATTTTCAATCTCAAATAAATTCATCTTTTATATATATTTTAAAATTTTAAATTATATTAAATTATATTTAAATTATTAATTAGTTATTACATAAAAAATAAATTAAACTTATAAATATTTAAATTAATTTAATATAATCTAATAAAATCATGTTCAATAAATAAATTATTTAATTAAATTAATTTAATGATTATAATTAAGATTTATAATATAAGGATTATAACTAATATAGATAGTAAATTTATTAATTTAATTATCATAACTAACGATTTGTTTTAACTTTTGAAAAATTATCATATTGATTATCATAGTTTATTATAAATTCAAAATCTAACAATTTAATCAAAATCTTACAACTACATCAATTGTAACTTATAAGTAATATAGTTTATTATAAATTCAAAATCTCACAACTTCATTAATTGTAATTTATAAGTTAGGTAAACATCAAGTCAGATAAATATTAAATCAGTTCAATAACAAGTCGGATTATTTACAAGTTGGGTCAATTACAGATCAGGTTCATAATAGGCCAGGTTGATAATAGGTCAGGTAATACCAGTTATTTACCAGGTTAATATCGAGTTCGGGTTCATTTCAGTTGGATGTAGGTCGAGTTCGGTTGTTATATTATCGGTTTAATTCGGGTTCAGGGTCATTTTCAGTTCGGATGCAGGTCGGGTTCAAATACACAATTTCTAGGTCCAACTCGAGTTTAGGTAGACACCAGTTCAGACTCGAGTCGATTTGTGATGACCATAGCTCAGGTCACAAACAGCTTTGACTCAAATTGGTTTCAGTCAATTTTATAGGTCATGTCATCTTTTTACATCCCACGATAGCAGCGCAGACCTGCTTTTGTCTAGGGTTGGTGTTGTGTGAAGGATGATTCATGTGAATATAATGGAGGTGGTGGGATGTTTGGAAAAAAATAGAAATTATAAATTTTTTGATGTTTTAGTGATAAATTTGTTACTTTTAAAACTTCAGTGAAGAAAATGAAAATTTATTCAAACATTAGTGACCATTTGTGTAGTTTACCCTTTTGTTTTATAAATTCACTGTCTCACATCAACAATCCGTAGTGACCATATTAGTTAAATAAAAACGAAAACAATCAAATATTATGTTTTTTGAATTCAGTGAAAAAATATACAAAACTTAAACGAAAGTAATCAATCATGTAGTTTACCTTTTATATATTTATATAATATTTAATAAAAAAATATATAATATTTAAATTAAACAACTAAGAGTAATTATTTAATATGGTCATTTCATCTGAACCCGGTGGATTTTGATCCGACTCAATTCAGTCATATTGATTTTTAATTTTAAAAAATTAGGTTTACGTTGGGTTGGATCGAATTATTTAAAGGTGAAGTCAGGTCAGGTCGGGTTGAGTTTGAGTTTATGATGAAAAAAACAACTTAACTCGACATAATATTATAATTATCCCTAATATATTTGTTTCTATATTATTATTTTTCAATTAGTTTTTTTATCTAATTAATAAAAATGAATTATATATATAAGTCGAGTCGGATCAAATTGAGTACAAGTTTTGACCTAAAATATTAGGTCGAGTTTCAAGTCGAATGAGACTATCTTAAACCCAGATCGAGTCGAATACGGATGAAGAGATTTAACTTTCAGATCAAATTCAAATAAATCAAAAATTCAACCCGATACATTATCATCTCTAGATTATATATTCCATTCACTTAGACTCATGTAATGAAATATAATGTTTTTAATTTAATTGACATGAGTTGAATAAATAATATAGAATCTGGATTACATGGTTAGTCCTACTACGTGTTGTGAATCTTTCGTCACCATAATAATTACCCGGCTCTTATCCCACTCTCTTAAACTTTTCTTCAGATTCTTCCCAAAAGGACTACTCCTATATATATACATACATATATAAAACTCCCCACTAATTTAAATGTGCTCTGCTCTCCATGTGCTGAATAACAACAATCCCCAACACAAGAGGTTTATGTTTTGTCTTAAAATTATTTTAAAATTATTGTTGTTGGTTGATCATACGTTCAATTCATGTTTGATTCAATTTATTTTTGTTTTAATTTTATCCACTAGGAAGCATGGAGGTTGAAGAAGACCAACAAGTTGGCTCTCAATAGTTTTTTTTTCTTATCAAGAAATCTCTCTCTTCTTTTTCTCAGTGGAGTGCAATGGATATTGTAAAGAGGAAATGGAAGAACATGGTCATGAAGGTCTGGGAAAGGTTCTGCAACGCATCAAGATCGCCGACGTCTCCGAACGGCCACGGTGTCGGAAACATAGCACCGGAAGGGTGTTTCTTCGTCTACCTTGGAGCCCAAAGACGAAGATTCGCGATCAAGGCTGAGATCGCCAACCATCCGTCGTTCCAGATGTTGTTAGAAGACGCCGAGCTCGAGTACGGGTTCAGCAATGAAGGTCCACTCCTTCCTTGAGATGTTGATCTGTTCAACCGAGTTTTAGCAGAGATCAACAATGGCGATGATCGAGAAATGACTCCGATTTGAAGCTTCGCTTACAGCCCTGCTGATCGTATAAACTTCTCACTCCATCTTGAATGCTCGCAGTTTCCGCTTTCCTTTCAAAAATGGGATTAGATGTTTGGGGAAGATGATGCAAATATCAACGTAATTGAAAAATGGTGGAGTGTAACCTTCATAATTTAATAGTAGAAACAGGTTTTACTTAAAATCTATCGCATAAAATTTTATATCCATCCCAATGATATTGTGTTTTTTATATCTGTTGGTGTGAAGAGTGATTTTACGACGGTTTTGAGCGGGGTTTTTTTTTTCTATATATAATACAGTTGATAATTCTTTTGAATTAAAATAAAATATATATAATGTAAAGTGTGTAAAAAGAAGAGAGTGGGAGCTCTACTCTTTCTTTCAGTCATATAAAGAATATTATAATTATTCGAAGGTTTGTATAAGGACATATATATGATCGTCAAATTATAAAATTGTTTGTCTGATCATATGAATTGTCAATGATATTAAGAGACTGATTAAAAGATATGAAATTTCAAAACCTTTGATCAGTGAAAAAGTTTTAAATACTTTGTTGGACAAAAAATCAACAATAAATATATGATTTATAAAAGAAATTTGAAAAAAGTACAACAATATATATATATATATATATATATCATTAGATAAATAAAAATAAATGACAAATTAAGATGACCATCCTAAAGTGAGGGAATAGGGGATTCGCATTTAAAATGCGCATTTGATTTTTGTTCACGTTGTAACATAAGCAATTTCAACTTTTTATTATTATTTTATATTTGAAATGACCATAGGTTTCTACTCAATTTTACATCTAAAATTTATATACATTTCACGTGACAGTAGTTGATGTGGTGATCTATAATACTGACGTGACAATCTACAATGATTTTTGACGTGATTAACACGTGATAAATGAACTAATTTGATTTTTTTCAATCGAGTTTAAAGGCCAAATATATTTTCATACTACAAAACTAATGACTTCCTCTTGCACAACATATCCTATATATAATACAGTATTGTATACAATAAACAAATATATTTTCAATAAAAAATATATCATTAAGCTTCCCACATATATATGAATTAAGAGATGATGTATCAAGATATGTACGAATCAAGTAGACAATGCCTATATGAAATGCCTATCAATCATGTAAGATAATTTATTTTAACAAAACAATACAATTATATTGAGTTTCACAATAAAAGTTCTACAATTTTAAAACAAAAATACACAAATTTTTCACAACTGAAACACATACCCAATAAAATGAGGATAAGCGTTCAAGTCATTAGACTGTCTCTACGATGTATAGCAACACTAGAATTTAAAATCAAAGGACCACTCTTAGCTGTATTCAAAATAAACTATAACTAATTAATATATAATTATAAAATCAAATTAAACTCCCAGAACACAATTTTAATAATTAGAATCAATTCTTCAAATAACTATAAAATCATTGAAATCATATTTTTCGTTTAAAACTAAAAAGAAATAACTTAATAAATAAATTTATTTATTTATTTTAAAAAAATAATAAGTAAATGATGTGAACAATAAAAAAATTTGTGAAACTATAACTGAAATTCCTCAAACTCAATATTATAAGCAAAACGCATATTTTAATAAACTAATCTTTAGAATACAAGCAGAGAAATTTTATGGAATCTATACATCAAATCTTTGACAAATTTAATAAAATAATCTAGGCATCAAAATTATTTTAGAATATAAGACTGGTAAAAAATTATATAGGAATCTAAGACATTTATTACAATAGATTAGAAGCTTGTCACGTAGACATGACGGATTTTAATAAAAAAAATATTTTATGAAATTTATTTATAGAACTCATCATGTCTGCATGACAAGTTCCAATAAAATATACATTTTATAAAACTAATCATGCAAACATGTCGAATTCCTAATCTATAGTAACAAATGACATAAATCCTTATATAATTAGTAATCAGTCAACGTGTAACAACCCCAACCCGTACCCGACCCGAATACGAATCCGATGTGTCACATTGACTTTTCAAAACATGTACTTGTACAAAATAGTGAATAATTTTAAAACTTTTATTAAAAACTACTTACTAAATTATATAAAAGATATTCATATGATTTTAGCAAAACTAATTAGAGCATATCAAATTCAAGACTTTATTTGCATGTCAACCACCATCAGTATTATATAATACATATTATCCAATGCTTTTCTGATCTGATATTTGGAAAGGAGAAACTGACATGTCTTGCTTAACTTTTATCATTCTTCATCTTCTTGGTACCTACGTGTGAAACAATCACACGCTAAGTCGTTGACTTAGTAACGCGTATAAAACATATAATAGAAATTATAGTACATTTCATATATCAAAATACATACATGCACATATACCATCATTATCGAAATCTCTATTTATCATATGATCTTGTATTTATCATTTCTGTATATCATATAACACATTTATCATATCACAAATAAACATACATAACATCATATAATTCATGTAACATATTTCATATAACATATGTAACATCATATGTATTGAATTTGGTATTGTCTTTTTATTAGCCCATATATACCTGTGAGAACTTAAGGTATGTGAGTACATTGAGGTTGTGCACTAATGCTGTCACCATAACTCGTATAAATTCTCTCATGGGGCACCGAACATTTGTTCAGTATTCGTCCCGAAGGACCACTATATCCCGAAGGACCACTGTATATGTCCTGTAGGACCACTGTATATGTCCCGTAGGACTACTCCTTAAGAACCATATACATATTCCAGTGGATCAAATTTGTCTCAAAAGACCCTGTAAATGTTCCAAAGGATATATATATATGTCCCGAAGGACTTGGCATGCCAACTACACCTATAGCTCTCGTATCATATACCATGGGCATTATCATTTATACATTTCATATCACTTGTTCTTTCTCTTCTATCACATACCACATTTATGTGTAACTATATATTTCATATCATATCACATGTATCACAAGTGCATATATTCACGTAGATCATTTCATATGGCTTATATCATTTCTCATTTGTTCATGTAAACTCGCATGTCGTATCTTGTTCACATATGTTCATATATACATCACATAGCACATAGTATAACATATAAACTTATACAGGTATCTATATACATACTTTCATATACTTCGAATAACAATGTCATATAACTTCTCACAGTTTTACCTAATCACTTATTTAACCTTAATTATATTCTAGTTTCATATATTACTTAATTCAATTTCACATAGCTTGTTACTTAAAGTTTTGAGAAAAAATGATTCTGATATTTCTCTAACATCATATTACATCTTTTAAAGTACGAATTAGTGATAAAATAAGAAAGTATCCCTAAAAATTAGGAACTACGATTAGAGACATATTTACATTAAGTTAACTCCTAAAAATAAGGAAGAAGATTCAGTCCCTTAATTCTAGGATTTCCAACACTCCCCCTCAAGCTGGTGTGTAGATATTTATCAATCCCAGCTTGCCAATAAAATCTTCAAACACATTCTTCCTCAGACTTTTAGTTAGCAAGTCTACAACTTTTTGCTTAGTAGGAAGATAGGTGATACAAACTTCTCCTGAATTTACCTTCTCTCTGATGAAATGACGATCTATCTCCACATGTTTAGTACGATTGTGATGAACTGGGTTATGTGCTATACTGACAGCAGCTTGATTATCACAATATACCTTCACAGGTTTAACATAGGATACTTTAAGTTTCTTCATTAATCTTTGTAACCAAATTCCTTCACATATACCATGAGATAAAGCTCAATATTCTGCCTCTGCACTGCTACGAGCCACAACGGACTGTTTTTTACTTCTCCATGTCACAAGATTGCCCCAAACATAGCTACAATAACCACTTGTAGATCGTTTGTCACTCACTGATCCTGCCCAATCAGCATCAGTGTAAAGTTCTATGTCACGACTGGTGTTTTTCTTGAAATGAAGACCTTTACTCGGTGTTACCTTTAAATACCTTAGCATCCTGTAAACTACCTCCAAATGTTTTTCCTTTGGAGCATGCATATACTGACTGATGACACTCACACCGAATGCAATATTAGGTCGGGTGTGAGATAGATAAATTAGTTTTCCCACGAGTCGCTGATATCTCCCCCTGTCTACTTCTTCCCCATCATCATCATTGCCTAGCTTAGAATTAAACTCCATTGGGGTCTCGGCAGGTTTACAACCTAGCATGCCAGTTTCAGCCAATACTTTCGTTGGGAAATAGAAATGCTTGTCTGAGTCCGTGCTACTTCCATGCCAAGGAAGTATTTGAGATTCCCCAAATCTTTAAGCTCAAATTTTGTGCTGAGGAAGTCTTTTAGTTTCAACAGCTCACTCGAATCATCCCCTGTTAGAATAATATCATCAACATAGACGATAAGAATAGAGTATTTCCCACTTCCCGAGTGTTTGTAAAATAGTGTATGATCTGCTTGCCCTTGGGTATAATTCCTACTGGTCATAGCCTTGGCAAACCGGCTAAACCAAGCTCTTGGGGATGTTTTAGTCCGTATAGTGACTTCTTTAATCTGCATACTCGCCCTTTTTCTTCTTCAAAACCTGGTGGAAAGTCCATGTATACTTCCTCGCTCAAGTCTCTATTGAGGAATGCATTTTTTTCATCAAGTTGTGTTAAGGGCCAATCAAGGTTGACAACTAAGGAAAGTAGCACTCGAACAGTATTCAGCTTTGCAACAGGGGTAAACGTCTCATCATAGTCGAGACCATAGATTTGAGTAAAGCCTCTTGCCACAAGTCGGGCCTTGTGTCGATCAATACTCCCATCATGCTTGATTTTTGTGGTGAAAATACATTTACAACCCACGATTTTCTTCCCTTGTGGCAGATTTGTAACGTCTCATGTCCCATTTTTTTAGTGCATTCATTTCTTCAAAAACAACATGTCTCCATTCGGTTGATTCCAAAGCCTCTTTTACATTTCTTGGAGTCTCTACAGTGTCAATATTAGTTACAAAAGTTTTGTAAGCTTTAGATAAATTTCCATAGGATACAAACCGAGAGATTGGATGCTGAGTACAAGCTCTTGTGCCTTTACGAACAGCGATAGGAAGATCCATATCCGACGAACCAGGAGACTGATTTGAAACAGGACAGCCCTTGGAGTTGGATGAATTTGGCACTGCTGCTGTGTCGTTTTTAGGAGGAAAATATTTCCGAGAATAAACAATGATTTTTGGAGGTTGTAGCTGGGGTTTCTGAGAAGGATAAAGTTGCTGAAACTTACTTCCAATGTGGATTTCATCGCTGGAAAATTTACTTCTCTCAAGTGGAACACTCAAATCTGGTGTTATGAGGACAGGGTCACCCTTAGAATTTTGTGTGACAGTAGTGTTAAGGATAGGCTCAGGTGGTATAATAAGAAGAGTATGAAGAGTCTCATCTTCACTAAGAGTCTCCCCCTGAAGATGAGTAGCAGAAAAATACAGGTCGGTTTCAAAAAATGTGACATCACGAGAGACAAATATACGACGTAAGGTGGGTGAGTAACATTTGTATCATTTTTATGTGGATGAGTAGCCAACAAAGATGCATAGGTGTGCTCGAGGATCAAGTTTGGATTGATTAGGTTGATGATTATGTACAAAGGCTTTACAACCAAATATCTTGGCTGGTAGAATAGGAACACGAAATAGGGGAAAGTTTTTTTGTAGGACATATAAAGAAGTTTGGAGATTAAGAACTCTAGAGGGCATACGGTTTATTAAATAACATGCAGTAAGGACAGCCTCCCCCCATAGGTATTTTGGAACTTTCATAATAAACATTAAGGCTCGAGCAATAGCTAGTAGATGTCTATTTTTTCTTTCTGAGATCCCGTTTTGTTGAGGTGTCTGGACAAGAGCTTTGATGAATAATGCCTTGTTCAGAGAGATAGGGGCTTAAAACATAATTGAAATACTCCCTTCCATTATCAGTGCAGAGCGTGTGTATGTTTGAGTCAAATTGGGTTCGGATCATGGAGTGGAAATTCTGGAATACCTTTGGTGTTTCTGTTTTTTCTTTTAGAAGGTAAACCCAACATACTCTAGTATGGTCATCAGTAAATGTTATGAACCATCTAGCACCCGTGATGTTTTTAACACGACTTGGCCCCTATAGGTCACTATGAATCAAAGAGAAAGGTTTGGATTGTATATAAGGCTTCAAAGGATAAGGAACACGGGTATGTTTTGACAATTGATAGATTTCATATTTCAGGGAATTGATTTTTTTATTCCGAAATAACATAGGGAGCAAATGCTTCAAATACAGGAAATTTGGATGTCCTAACCTACGATGCCACATCATGATAGTGTCCTCGTTTGAAGCAGAGAGAGCAAATACTCCTTTTTTATTCTTGTCCTTGTAGTCATCCCAAATATAGAGTCCATCATCAACCTTAGCAGTGCCAATCATCCTCCCCGATTTCTATTCCTGTATAATACAACCATCAGCAGAAAATTCAGCACAAACAACCTTGTCTTCAGTAAGTTTACTTACTGACAGTAAATTACAAGATAAATTCGGGACATGAAGAACTTTCTCGAGTGAGAAGTCCTTAGTGAGTCGAACAACCCCAATTCTAGCAATAGATGAGTATGAACCATCAGCTATCCGAATTCGAGATTGGTTGTGGCAGGGGGCATACGTATGGAATAATGATAAATTACATGTCATGTGATCGGATGCTCCTGAATCTAGAATCCAGGATGGATGATTACTAGATTCAGAGTAATATTAAAAGCAGTACCTTTAATAGCCAAGGAACCATAGCTTATTGGTGCACCGAGTAACTTGTGAAGAGTTTCAAGTTGGGACTTTGTTAGGCAAACATCCTGAACAGCTTCAGTAGGTACAGGGGTCGCAGTGGATGAGCTGCCCAAGGATAAAAGAGCCTTATTTTCCTTCTGAATTTTTGTTGTACCAGGATAACTGTGGAGCTTGAAACATTTATCCTTTGTGTGACCGGTACGGTTACAATAGCTACACCATAGTCGATCTCCTGAGCGACTTAGTTTTGAATCATTCCCTGCACGAATTTTTTGAGATTGAGGGCCCCTTGAGACCAGGGCAGATGATTCAGTAGGACTATGACCAGAATTAGTCACAGATTTTGGTTCCTTGGAATCTCCCATCATTACTTGGCGACGATTTTCTTCTCTCTGAACCTCTGCAAATGCTTCTCCAATGGTTGGAAGAGGGTTCCTACCTAGAATACGGCCACGAACTTCATCCAAGTCTTGGTTCAGCCCTGCTAAGAACTCATAGAGCCGTTCTTTATTGAGATGTGACATGAACTTGGTGTGCTCCAAGCCTTCACCCCAGTCCACTTCATAGTACATATCGAGTTCCTGCCATAAGACTTTTAAGTTGTTATAGTACTTTGTAACTTCAAGAGTTCCTTGCTGAATATCTTTTAATTTTAGCTCGATTTCAAAAACTTGAGAAGCATTTCCTAGATCAGAATTTCTCCTTGACTGCATCCCACATTTCTTTTGCAGTCTTGAACAAGAGGTAGGTTCGGTTTATGTGACTCTCCATGGAGTTGATCAGCCAGGCCATGACAATAGAATTATTGAGTTCCCACATAGCATATGTAGGATCAGTAAGGTGAGGACGTGGAATTTCACCACTGATATATCCTAGTTTCCCACGACCTCGAATCACCATGAGTACCGATTAAGACCACTGTAAAAAATCTTCTCATCAAATCGGTGATTAGTGATTGTGAGGGACGAATTAACATCACTATGAGATAGTGTTTAGTTGACATTCTGAGTTACTTGTGAAGTCTCAGAATCAGAAATATTTCCAGTGTTTGCCATGATAGAAAAACAAGACACGGGAGAAAATTAAAGAAGTAGAATGGATCAGAAATATCCATACAGCTCTAATACCATGAACAGTTTTGAGAAAAATGATTATGATATTTCTCTAACAGCAGATTACATCTTTTAAAGTACGAATTAGTGCAAAAAATAAGAAAGTATCCCTAAAAATTAGGAACTACAATTAGAGACATATTTACATTAAGTTAACTCCTAAAAATAAGGAAGAAGATTCAGTCCCTTAATTCTAGGATTTCCAACAGTTACCTATATAAATATTTTCTCATAACTTATCATCACATAGTTCCCATAACATTTTCCTATAGCTTTATAAATCTTTACCATATGACTCATATATTATATGTTCATTTCAGCTCATAACTCCTCTCTGTATAACTTATTTTACATGTTCATATCATCACTTCTGTCAATGTCTCCTAATTTATATATTATTCTTATATTGTCCTATAAATCAATGTTATTTAACTTATCTCACTTTTCATCTAATCTCATAAGTTGGTTATATCAGTTCATATATATCTAACTAATGTACTTTATATCTTGTTATTATATCTTTAACTAGACCTATAACCACATGTTCATAATCACATAGCTTATATTCTTTATCATATAATCACATATGTCCATGTCGTTTAACTTATCATTTATATCTATACCACCTAGTTTATATCACTTTCTCTTGTTATCACATAAGTCCTTGCTATTTTGCATAGTTCGTGATCCTATAGTCACTTATAATAACATGTCTATCTTATCTCATATCATATAGTTCTTTAACTTATGTCTTATATCACATATTTATATAACTTATATAATCACATCCACTACTTAAACCAGTTCACATAACTCATCACACTAACATTTATTCACTCAATTCATGTAACATATGCAATACATATAACCTATGTACCCATTTTCATGTACTCATGCAAACATAAGAAGTCCATTCTTACCATAGTAACTCCATCACTGGCTCATCGCAAGCCAATGTTTATTTGATACATAAGTACAATTTAAATTGCACTCACCTTAGCCTTGCTTTGATTCGATTCTAATCCTTTGATCATTTAGGAACAAGCTAACGTTTAGTATCTACATAATCACACATGGATCTATATCGGTATTATAACTAATATACTCTAATGATTCACTCCTTAGACTAAAAGAAAAGCAAATTTCATCTTTCAATGAAGGTATGCATCGATGCACTACTTGTGCATCGGTGCATAAAATGCATTCGATGTTGTATTATTACTGGGATGCATCGATGCACGCCTTATGCATCGATGCACTAATTGCATTCGATGTTTC